CGCTGCAGCACCTCTGCGCGTGGCCTCCCGGTGTCTGTTTTGGTTTTGCTCCCCGGGTTCATTTGTGTGTTTATTTTTACCCCTTCACTTGGCCGTTTGCCGTAGGTGTGCTCTGCATTTAGCGCTAGTGCCGCTTTCGCTGTAGGGGCACCCGGTTAAGGGGATTCGCAGGTATTTACCCAACATCAGGAGTTCAGAAGAGGATGACAGTACCAACAAATAATGTGTGTTGTCTTCACCTACCAGCATCCCCCAAATTCTTTAAGCAGTCTTTTCATAGAAGCGTGTTATGCAGATTTTTGTTGGAAGGAAGGATTCTTTCATTCCTGGCTTTTCAAGTGGCACGAACACGTGCCAGGCCGCTCACAGAATAAGCCTTGTAAAGTCACCTTGCCGTTCACTACAGCTGTAAACACTTCGTCAGACTTTAGGAACTGCTGAGGAAATGTTCCTCTGTAGTTCCATTTCCACGAGATTCACAGATAGGTACTTAGTGTCCCTGGCTTTTGCTGGTAACATCAAACGTAGATCAAGGACAAGTTGTTCTACTCAGATATGTCATCAAAACAAACTGAGGCAGTTTGTAGGTAGGGAGAAAATTTTTTTTTTTTCTTTCTCAGCAGCCAGACATCACCTTTCAAAGCGCTTTCATGTTTTTTGTAGTCCCTGACAGTTTTGGTTGTTTTGCCACTACTAATTAGGTAGCTGCAGCAGCCCGCCTAAACAGATGGAAAGTTGCACATCGTATATCACAAAGTGGATGGAAAGTTGATGACGACATTGATGTTGTCGTCTCATCTTGAAGCACCATGCCCGGGCTGAGCCCTTAGGCAGTCCTTAGGCTGTGCCTGGGCCGAGCCCTTAAGCAGGGCTGTAGCACCTTAACCTGGGTGCTAAAAGCTTTGTTTCCATCAGCCTCGTGTGCTGTCTTGCGTGGACGTCTGTGTGCTCTCCCCCATGGTGTGCTACAACCACAATGCCTTCCGATTACTTGCTGTTACCTTGCATTCCCCTTCTGCTCCTACACTTTTCTGGGAGTATTTCAGCATGAGTATGAGTATTTCTCCCATCCTTTGCCCCTCATTGCTTTCTTTTATGACATCTTTAAACACTTCCCCCCCCCCCCAATTTTGTCCCGTGGCTATCCTGCCAAGTTCAGTGTTTGTCCTCCAGCTGTTTCAGTTGTCACCTCCTCAAGTTTTCCTTGAGGATGGGACTGTTTACATCACAGCTCATGTCACTTGGCTGCGCGGGCCGCTTGCGGTCTCGTCTAGCGGCCTTTCCGCTGCTTGCAGGCCGACGTCTTTACTTTCACGCCATAGCTCCTTTTGTTATTATGTGCTTTGCTGTTTAAGGGGATATCTGTGAATATCCTAGACATCCTTTGCTCTAGATTACTAACAAAAATATTGACGTCAAAATACTGCTGCTCTTGTTCTCTCAGTCCTTTTATTTACTTCAGTCATAAAACCAGTTGTAGGGTCTTCTGGTTTCTAAATGTACTGGGTTTCTGTTTTCATTAAAAGTTCCTGTGGTAAACATGCTTCAGCAGCAAAGCCGAGGCGGGTTGTGTGGGGTGCGAACATGAGAGCTGACAGACCATGTTTAGCATGGACAGATGGATTAAAAATCTAATGATAGTGAGAAATGCTCTGGGATTTTTACTGGCGCTTGGAAAGTTGTGCTCGGTGGTGCCCAGGAAGCTGCTTCGCTCCCTACGCAAAAAGTTGATCCACGTGTTGCCCTCCTAGGTCTGTGATATAATGTCAGGTCTGGCATGTGAGCCCCAGTGACGGTGCGGGATGTGTGTGATTTGCCTTGGGGCAAAGATGACACTTGCAAGATCTGCAAGATGACACTTGCAGATCTCGAGTGACGTTCTCCAGGGGAAGAAGTGCTGCTGCCACTACCAGTGAGGACTCCTGCTCCCCTTGCTGCCCTATCAGGCCCCTTTGCTGCAGAGCTTTGGGTGGCAGTCAGGGTGCCGAGCACCCAGGCCGCTGATTGATGGCACTGCCCAGTTGCTGCCCGTGACGGACACAGTTCCTGCTCTCCTCGGGTGACATCTGATCTGGCAGTGGGGCAGCCAAAATGCCACAGGTAACGCTCGGAACAGCTGGCCAAACTGCCCACTTACAGCTTGCTTGGGAGCATGTAGTAATTGTGCAGCACTCGTGGGAGATCTGGCCTCGCTCACTAGCCTCTGGCTTGTCCTTTTGTGCTTTCACACGCCTAGGAGGCTCATGAGGCCTGTTCACAAATGTGCTGTGCAGCATCTACACCTTCTGACTGCATTTACATGTCTTCTCCGTTCAGCAGCCCCTCACATGGGTGGCGGTCTACTCAACTGTTTGTGTGACAGGGAAGCCCTGTGCTGATTTTTGGAATGCTCTGTGCTCTCCGTGCTGCTCCTGCACTTCTAGGGCAGTGTATTTTTTGTTTTGTTTCAGCAACAGAAGCTCAGGGTATTTTAATTTAGAAGTTTGACTACAAATGATTTTACTTTTGGGTACCCTAGATGAGCTGAGAAATAGGTGGGTAAATGTCTTTGCCCCAACTCCTCTGAATGCATATGTTCTCTGATGAAATAACCATCCATACTGATGTTATGGTTAATGCTGATCCTATGATGTTACCCATATCCAAAATAGTACATAGGCTCTAACTATAGACTCATTTGGATGTGCTCCATGGGGCAGGAGGGTATAGGTAACCTGATGGTTGCATCATCCTTTTTATCATACAGTTTGCATTCTAGCAATGCAAATGTAATACTCTTAGTTAATCGTGAGGTGGGAGAATGTGGTGCCAAGTGTTGCACCAGTGAGGAAGAAAAACATGGCACTTCCCTGCGAGAGCTGGCGCCTCGGTTATAAGGTGAGGGAAAAGGTGGGTCTTGACAGATCAAGTGGATGGTGGAAGTCAGCGTGGCGGCTTGTTCCTCTAGCCTGCTGTGGGATGTGTGGGTTGTTTTTCTGAGCCTCATAGTGAAGGCCCAGCGTGGGAAACAGCAGCGAGGCGGCGGGTTTGAGAGCTCAGCTGTGCAGGCCTGGTGGGAGGGAGGGGCAAGGTGACACCGTGGGAATGGGAGCTGGATAGTGGAGGCCTCTGCTGTGCGCGGATGCTGTGAGAGGAATGACCTCTTTTTTTTGTCCTAAAGAAAAGTGAGTTCTGGTTCATGTTTTCCATTTGGTTTTTATTGGTCTTAACTTTATTGATTTTTAGTAGACTGAAACACAAAATAATGTATTTTAAGAACTGAAATGTAGCTTTTGGTGTATATGCTTTATGGCGCAGCTCCTTTACTGTATTAAACAGAGACTATTTTAAGGATGCCTTGCATCTAAAATAGTCAAGCTATACCTTAGATTTAACTTAAAAGATTTAGAACTGCTGCCATATGTTGATTTGCGCCACAAATGCAGAGCTTTTAAATTAGGTGGGCAGATTGTTCTGCTACTTCTGAAGCATTTTGATTTTTCTAGAAAAGTGGAAATGAGCAATTGTAGTAGGGAACTTTTGATCCTACTGGTTTCTGGTTGCCATTAGGGTTCCTGGTGAGTGCAAAAAGTAAACTACACCAAGAGTGGCAAGCAAGGATTATTATACTTTAACTCTTGTATGCTGAGTTCACATAGCTGAACCAGTTGGGTAAGGGCTAGCTTCTAGATTTGCATGAAATGCAGTATTTAAAAAAATGTGATTCAACTCTTCCTACTTTAATGTTTTTTCCCCAAGAAACTGCACAATTTTCACTTGAAATTTTTACTGTATGCTAAAGAGGTAAAAAGGTGAGGGAATCTTTTATCTGAACCCAGCTTTTCCTACTGCAAAGATCTTTTTCATTTTTGTTATTGTCAGATTTATTAGTCCACTATCACGAGTACTGTGACTTTATTTTGTGGATAAGAAATTTGAAGCTTGCCATATTTGTTCTCCATTCCAAAAAGAAACTTCAAATTGAGACTTCGCTGAGATCCCCTTCTGCTTGTCCTTTCAGACAATCTCATCCTAAAGCGTCTCCGTTAGGATACCTGACTGTTGATGGCCGTAGTTTGAAACAGAGCCATTGAACGTATTCAGAAAAGGATTGAGTTAGAAAGAAGCAGCTCGTGGGAAAATTGTCATGGCTTTTAGCCTCCAGAGCACTGAGCTAATTCTGTGCCAGTTGATCCTTTCTCCCCTGCTCTCTTGTCCTGCATGGATTGTGCCTATGGTCAGTGGATGTATACAGGGTTTCTTAGAATTAATTTCTTAGAATTAATTTCTTAATATTCTATGTGAATTGATTTCTGAACCGCTTTAGTTTTCTAACACCTTCATCTCACTTGAATGCAATAAGCAGATTTGTAGCATAAGCATTTTGCCATCTGAAGTGGTGTTTGATCGTCAGATCTTTTCCTTGCAGCGTTTCCTGCCCCGGGGGCGCTGGAGGAGGAGCAGCGGCGCCAGCCCCCTCGCGCCCCGCGTGCTCGCCGGGCAGCTCCCCTGCCCTTCCCGTCTGCCGGCCTGCTGGTCCTGGCTGCTGTGTGGCTGCTGCGGGAGCTCGCAGGCTGTGAGCCAGCCGTGCTGGTGAGGGCTCCTGGCTCTCCTGGCACGTGCTGGGTTTTGTTCGGGCCACGCTTGCTGAAAGATGACCGAAAAACCTCTGCTTTTGTCAGTGGATTCCCAAATCTGCAGTGTGGCTGCTTGGGTACAGTGTCAGTTTTCATTTCTAATGCCTCGTTGATTATTTTGGGACAGAAATATCCCATCTCCAGGCATTCCAGATGCTAACTGCCAGTGCACCTTTTCCATGTGTCCTGAAGGAGGACTGTGCAGCGTGGTTTCTGGTGGAAGGCTAATGCCGTCCTGTTCCAGGCAATATGAAGTTGCCTCTTGGCCCTGTGATTTCAGAGTTGGAACAGGTTTGTTTGCATTTCAGCTGGCCTGATGATGGTGCACAGTTATTGTTTCCTACAGGTGCCTGAGCTCCTGCAGCAAGCCGATAAACCCAGAATTCACCCAAACGAAAGTCACGTGGTTTGGACGGTCTTGCATAACCCGTCCAAACAGATAAAACTTCCCGTGCTGAAGTGAGCTTGCCTGGTCATTTGTGTCCGTGCCAACTAACCTACACAAAACTACATTCCTCTAGGGAGGTTGTGTTTTCCTGTCTTTGCTCTGGCCCGTGTCACTTGGTGTCATGTCACCAGTTTCCTGATGGCGGCCGTGCCGCTCACACAGCTCGGCCGGGGTCTTTGCCTTCCCCACGCTGGCCAGTGCCCTGTTAGTTTGCAGTGCCCAGTGCTGCTGGGGCATCCACGGGCAGGGTGCTGTGAACGATGCACCTTTCAGGCCAGGGGAAGCGAGTGCTCTGCAGAGCTGGTCTGAAGCACAGCTTGCTTGCTTGGAAAAGGTTTCGCTGCTCGGTTAAGCTGTTGTGCAATAACTGATGGTGAGTAGTTTCACAGTAGCTTATGTGTAAATTCTGAGATGACCAGGCAGAAAAAAGCCCTAAAATGTGTTTGGATGTAAAGCACCTTTTCCTTTTACTAGGGACGCTATGATGCACAGCTGCGGAAGCACATTAGGGATTTAAATGTGGATAAATATAAGTACTCAAGAGCTGGAATAGGCACGTCTTGTTGCATCAACATGGATTGCGCTGCAGGCTTGGTACTTGCTGTACCTGCCCCTTTCTATCCATTTGGTCTGTTATATACATTTTGATGTCTAACATTAAAAAATACTCCAGTCAATGATTGCTGCAGTAGAACATAGCTAATTCATTTAACTTATTCACTACTTTGTCTTTTAAATTATGTAGATGATGCATATTTTTTATTTATTATGGCTTATTATTTATTCATTTATTATGCTTTTACATTCAGGAGAGTATTTGGTAACTCAGTCTTTTGTAAAAGAGTTAAAAAGCTGGTGGAAATGGAAATGAACGTGGGCGAAATTTAACTTGAAGTAAAACTTCATGGCGATGACTTTGACTGGTTTCTGACAGCAAAGCTTTTACACAAAGCCATCGCATTATTGTAATTTAAGTTATTCAGCCTGGGGTTCAGCTATTTGACAGCTGATTTGCTAGGCCTGCTTGGAATTGAATGTCTAAGTAGACCTTGCAAGTATATTACAAAGTGAATAAAGGGCATTAATTGCTGTCATGTATGTGGGACGAGAGAGTAACGTATTGGCACTTAACATGATGCGTGTAAAACAAGGCTGAAGTTTGTTGTCTGGTCAAAGCTGGAGCTGAGCTAGCAAGGTGCTGGTTTTACACACCCGCAACATCAGCAAACCTGAACTCAGAGGCATTGCTTACCTAAGGATATGTCATGGAAGAACGTGCTGGTATTTAAAACAGTATAAACCGGTTGCTGGGTAGCCATGGCATTTCACAGGACACCAGGGGCCGGAGCGGCGGCGGCTGCGCGAGCTCGCGCGGCCCCTCTGCGCTCTGGGGCGCCCGCGGGGCTCCAGCGACGCCTCTGGCGCCGGCAGCGCCCGCCGCGGCGCCGGGCACGAGGTGCCGAGCTCCGCGCGCAGCAGCGCGGGCAGCTCCCGCCGGGAGCGTCGGCCGCCCGGGCTCGGGACCGTAGCGGAGTCGGAGCTAACGACCCAAACGGGGAAGTTGCTCGGCTTCGGGGAACGCCTGACCTGGTTGAGCTACACAGGGGTTGTGTGTATTCGTGTGCCAGATGTAGGGCATTTCGGGAGTATCGTACACACAGATTATATATAGCAGTACAGTTAAAAATACCTCAGTGTTAGTGGATCAGGTGGCGTCAGTGAGCTGCAGAGGATACCGCAGGAAGAGGGCCTTTATTTTCTAACAGAAATAGTGATTCGCAAGTTTGCGGTCTGTGACTATTTGATTATCTTACATACGTGTGCTTTGTGTATCAAAACACACATTTCTTTATGTTTTTATGAAGTGTTGTCAAAAGGGCAACCTGGAAACTAATTTACAGAAGCTGTTGGTATGATGCATAGCTGTGCTGATTCAGTGGGTTCACTGTTGGATTTTTGGTTAAACAATAAGAATTTTAGGAGGGATTTTAGGAAAAGTTTAGCGGGAAAAAATGTGTTCTTTTAGTTCCGTTCTTCACAGAACTCCTTGATTAATGAATTAATTTTTCTATGAGAGAGTTCATCTATGTGGATCCTCTAATGTTTGCTAAAGGCATCAACTCACATTGCAGCCCTTTCTCACTGAAAGTTGAGGTCCCCTTCCCTTCCTTAGCTTACCGGTTTCAGGGAGTCTGGAAGGCTTCTTTATTTTATTAAACATCTGAAATTCCTTGAACCCTTTTTGGGGAATGCACACAGGTTAATGGTGACACAAACCTTGTGTCTTTTGGAAACAGGTTAAGAAAGAGAAGCTTCTAGTTCTTGGAACTTCATGTAATATATTTGATCTTTCAGTATACTTCCCGACTTACTCTTCATTTATCAAAACCTAAAACTGTTTCTAAGTTATGAGTTTGAGTGTTTGATTTAATCTCAGGCTTTCAGGGTTTAAACTCTCTAAATTTGATCAAGTATTTAGGCAATAAAACAGTCCCTATTTCTCTTTCCTAGTAACAGATGCGGGTGAAAGATCCATCAAGAGCCAACTCTGAGAAAACAAAGAGAAGCAAAAGGCCTAATAGGCCACAGGATGAAGACTCTTCAGATGATATTGCAGGTAAACACCTTAAGTGATGTTGGGCCTGAGATTGAAGGATAGCTTCCATATCGACTGGTGAGAACAGCAAAGCAGAGTGGCAGAGTGAAATGCCTTTCCTGTTTGAATTGATAACAAAAGTATCTTCAGTGATATGACGTGATCAGTTACATGACATGACTGCCCTGAGGGGCAGTAGATGTTCAGTGACAGCCTCTCCAGAGCCCAAGAACCAGAGCAGAAAGTGCAGCAGGCCAAGGCAGGGGCAGCCTTGTCAAACGAGGGGCTTCTGACTGAGCTCAGGTGCTGAAGGAACCTGCGGAGGGTGGAAGGGTTGGGCTGCCCGGGGCCTCCTCCGTGTGCAGGGGTGGGTTTGGGTAAGGAGGGGGATCTAATGAGGGATGTGAAGAGCAAGAAAAGGGATACTTTTGTGTGGATGCTCTGACAGATAAATGAAGACTAATGAAACTGTGAGCACACTGCTTGAGAGGTGGGACCTGGTGACCAGGGACATGGAAAAGGCTGAGGAACTCAGTGCCTCTGTCTTCACACATGGGCTCTGCCCTCAGTCCTCCCAAGTCCCTGGTCCAGTGGCAGACTTGAGGGGATTTAAGCATTATCCAAAGAGGAAGAGTTAAAAAGCAAATGAAACGTAATGCACGTCTGAGGGATTGGAAGGGATGCATGTGAGGGTGCTGAGTGAGCTGACTGATTTCTGTGTGAGGCCACGCTCTGCCTCTTCATTATCAACAAATTGGGAATCAGTGTCCTGGAGGGCAGGTCTGCTCTTCAGGGTGACCCAGCTGGCCGCAAAAACGGGCTGACAGAAACTGTGGAGTACAGCAGAGGCAAGTGGGGAATCCTCTGCCTGGGCCAAAATAACCACATCCAGGCTGGGAAGTGATGGCTTAAAAGCAGTTTTACCAAAAAGCTTCTGGGAGTCCTGGTGGCTTGTTCCTAGTGGGTTGTAATAGCAAGTGTAGCTGACAGGTAGGTGGGAGTGATGCTTCCTGTTTTTTTGACACTTAAAAGAGTTCACCTGGAGTGTCCGGTGGCTCCCTGGTAGAGGAAAGATGGGGACACACCAAGTGAGTGCAGCAGGAGGCTGACCCACCAGGTGATTAAGGGGTTGGAAATTACAGCATGTGAAGAGGGATTGATGGAAATGGGCTTGTTTAGCCTGGAGAAGAAAGTTTCCGTCTTTAACTCCTTGTGGGAGGTTACAGAAAAGATAGAGCTGGAGGCTTCTTAAAGGTCCACAGTGAAAGAATCGGAGGCAACAGACCTTATGGCAAGAGCAATTTGGTTAGATACAAAGAAAGTATTTTTTCCCCATAAGGACCGTCAGAAAGAAAGCGGATTTTGTAATGTGATGGTAAAACTTCCATCCTTGGAGATACGCAAAACTCAGCTGAACAAAACATGTAGCAAACTAATCAAGTTTGTGGTTGGCTTTGCTTCGCATGGGGGTTCACACCAGCTGCCCTCCAGAGGCCCCTTCAAACCCAGGTTATCCTGTGGCATTTCGTTGGAAATGGTGCAAAAAAATGACAAAAAGGAATGGTGGGCAGTTGTGCAGTAGAACTGGGTGGGTGGTATATTGGGAAATCCTCCTATCGGGATAGGAAGGGATCTCACCTCTCTGTATGGATAAATGCAAAAATAGCTTTGCATAATGTTTTACTGTTGACAAAAAGCAAGGATGTGAATTTTATCCAAAGTAGTCTTTAACTTTAGCTGATGTTAAGAGGTAGTATTCATTAACTTGGATGTGATTCTCTTTGTAGAAAGACCTCATCAGATTCCTCATAAAATTCAGTCTACGGAGGAGCTGATGGCCAGTTTTGCTATCTGATTTCTCTGTTGTTTTTTCCTTAATGCTGAACTTGCTGAAGATGCAGCTCTTCCAGTGTATGTGTGCTGTCTTTCAAAGCTCTCATTTTTGGTGGCTAAAAGTGGGTATGTGCCGTTTTCTCGAGGCTTAACCTGCCAGCACGTGAGCCAGGCGGTGGACGTGCACCATGTGAAGCGAGCCGTGGCCCAGAACGTGTGGTCCATATGCTCCGAGTGCCTGAAGGAGCGGCGCATGAGGGACGGGGAGCCCGTGGCACCCTCCGACGTGTGGCTCTGCCTCAAGTGCGGCTCCCAGGTAACGTGGGCCCCTGCGGCCAGCGCTGCGGCCTGCGCTGCTGCTAACAGGCCCTGGTTTACTGGAACGTGGCTCTATGACAGACCTGGCTGCTTGGCACCTCGCTGCTTTCAGTGCTGCACTGTGATCTCCTTCTCCTCATGACTGTTTTCATCAGTGTTTGCGTTAGGTTTATGTGCCAAGGTGCGCTTTGGCATTGCAGGTAGTAAGGGGGTAGCCCCGTCCTTGCCCTGTTCTTCAGCTGCAGGTTCTTGCTGCTTACCTAAGCAGAGCTGCAGGAGCTGAGCAGTTGCAGAATGCACCAGCTTAGCTGGCTGATCTGGCAGAATACAAATCCTGCGGATCCTGCAGACACAAATAAATAAATAAAGGAATGTGTGTATTGCAGACCCAAATAAATAAATAAAGGGAAGAGTGTATTGCTGAATGGGCTTGCGCTGTGCAAACTCTGTTGCTAGCTTTGACTGCAAGTGCCAAGAGCATTCCAGCAACTATTAGAGCTGTGACTATTCAGAATACTCACAGCTATAGGATTTCTGCCTATTTTGTAAAGTAAACTTTTTGTAGTGTTTTTTTTTCTTTTAATACAAAACTGTATACTATTTTCCTACTTTCCATATTCTTTTCTTACTGTATTACTCTTTCAATTTCTAGGGGTGTAGTAAGAACTCCGAAGGCCAACATTCCCTAAAGCATTTCCAGACAGCGCACACAGAACCTCACTGCATTGTGATCAGTCTCAGCACGTGGATCATATGGTAAGATTGGGTATGAGGGGGTTTATGTAAATTGTATTATATATGCTTATAATGTCACAGGACTACTTTTAACTTAAAGCAATGTCTTGTCCTCTCATGTTAAGGAATAAATCTGGCAGATAAAATGAGTATTTAGCTAGGTCTGCAAAGAGGAAAGGGATGCTTTCTGGACAGCAGAATAAGGAAAACAGCTTGCATTTCCTTGGAGAAGACAAACCAAACAAAGTGGTGTTCTGGCTTGTTTCCTCATTCTGAATGAGACATATTGTAATCGTCTCTATAATTCTGTTCTCCACATAATTATCAGTCAGAACATCTACCTTTCCCTGTTATTTCAGTGATTTTTGATGTAGATAAAATGTTCTGACTTGCAGACTGAATTGCTTTTTTTGCAGTGGCCATCAATTGCCGTGAAAAAGAAGATGAAATGATCTCAGATAGCAATTCCTGGGTTCCTTATGGTCTGTAAGAATTGGCTGCTTATAGGATTTGTTGACCTTCCTGCTTGCTTTTGAGTATTTCCAGAGCCCTTAACTGAGATTACTGAAGTCTGTAAGTGTTGAAGTGAATGAGGGCTGATAGGCAGGAAAGTGTGTAAAGGATGAAGGAATTTATTGATATTCTCATTTTTATTATGGAGAGTTGAAATCTAGAGCTTAAATGATGTTTTCCTGCATTGAATTATATTCCTTCTTTTGTTTAGGTGTTATGAATGTGATGAAGAGCTGTCAACACATTGCAACAAAAAGGTTTTGGCTCAGATAGTTGACTTTCTTCAAAAACATGGTTCCAAGGCTGAACCAAGTAAGTTTGCTCTTTTACCTGGACGTCTCTGTAATGTCGTGTCTCTAAAAAAGCACATCTCAGATTTCGAAACACATTAAAGATTAACTAAACTTTACTAAATTTAAGTTAATGATTTATTAGTTGTAAATTTAAGTTTGTGTAAGTGGATGTTGTAGCACTCTAGTGTTGGATGTAATGCTCTCTGTTTGTTGGTTTCTTTGGATTTTGATTGATAGAATGATCATTTCTATTGATTAAAAAATGTACTAAGTTCTTTTACTTTAGAATTCTGCAATATTTTCTTCGCTGTATTTGTATAGTATAGAGAACTTGTACACATGGCCTTCACCTGTGTTCTCTTGATTATCCTGCTGCTGTTCTTCATCCCTATCGGCAGCGTTTCAGGCTTGTGGCTTATGGAGTACATCAGATTTTAGATTGTTCACACAGACCCATGAAGAAAAAAAAAACAAAACCCAAAAAACTTAAGTAAAAAGTAAAACTTGGTTGCAGTTTTTAGCAGAGGTCGATAGTCTCTCCTTATTAGAAGTGAGTTTGGTACAGTGTTCCTTTGGTGCAGTGTTGGACTGCAATGGTTGTCCTATATATTCCTCAAGGTGGGTATACATAAATCTCGGTAATTTTAAGAGATGTGTGAGAGAGATATAAGAGATATAAAGTCTGATGCCATCATTCTGTGATTCTGTGATATTTTATATGTTTGAGAAGCAAAAAAACGTATTTCACTCAAAAATTCATATTCTACATTTTCATGTAGTTGTAAGTAATAATGTATTTAATTATAATAAATTGGCAAGTTACCGCCTTTTGTGTTCTTCTCACTTGGCCCAGTGAAAATAAAATACATGATTTCATTTTTATTCGGAGTTTCAGATTCAGATTTTCATGGGCGAATAAATCAGCTTATTTGCAGAGACAAGTGCTGTAGTATTTGTTTCATTTAATTTAAAGGAAACAATTTCACTCTGTTTTTGAACTTCTGGATAAGATTTTCAGGAGTGAAATGTTTCTGTTGTATGCTGTTTTTTTTCCCATTTTTCGTTTTCTAAAGTTTCCTGAGTTTGGAGTTCAGAACTTTTCTGTGAAATGTCTTAAACTAAACATCCATAATTCCACGATGTTCCAGGAACATGAAAACAGCTTCAAAAAAGTATGCTTGAAGTAGACATGGTATCCCTGTAAAATCATATATTTATAGTACAATTTGTCAGAATATGTACTTGTCATATAATACATACCTACATAGGTGTAGGTGTATATTTAATTTGGGTATTCTGTATTCTCTTTTGGTATTCTGACTATTTCACTTAAATATAGGAAAGAAGGAGACAAGGATGTGTTGTTTTTGTTGATTTTTGTTGTTTTCATTTTTTTTCTGTTTGATTTAAAGCCGTTTCCCCTTTTCAGGGGGAAACTTTCAGTTCTTGAAGTGGATATTGGGATGAAGCGGGGGCCATCTCCCAGTTTTCCTCTGCATGTGCCTCTTTTGTGATAGGGCTGTGTTGAGCATATCCCGGTCACTCGTAAACCTTGCACACTTCCCAAATGGAGGCATTCACAGTAGGATACAGCCAGCAAGGGGGGTTCTTTTCAACGTGTGCCGCAGTGAGGTTTCCCCAGGGTTTTTGCACTTCAGGGCGGACGGCACTGGCTGCTGCTCTGCCTGTTCCTTTGCAGCCCCCTTGTGCCGGCCCGGACACTGGCTGGGAGCGCGGGGCAGCGGCCTGCGGAGCGGAGCTGGGTGGGATCCTGGGCGAGTTCTGCTCCAGAGCAGTTCCCTGCTGTGATTGCCCTGGGAGACAGGACTCCGTGTGGAAGGAGCCGGAGGGGCCACAGGGAGCTGCCAGCAGTGCTGGGGGGGCAGGACCAGCTCTTCTGTGCAGCAGAGCCCACGTGAGGCAGCTCGAAGGGCTGAGAGTGCCACCGTCGCGGTGTGTTACGGCCAGCCTGGCTGCAAAGTTACCCGTCATCCTTCCAGTTCAGGCACGTGCCCGTCCTGGAGCCTGTTTAGCCCCTGGCAGTTACTTGCTCCAAGCTGAGGAATCCGCTCACAGGCTTTGCAAAGGGGCCACCTCAGCAGCAAGAGGCCGGAGCACGCGTGGAAGGCGACGGCATTGGCAGCTCCGTGCCAGCCGGCGGCTCCGGCTCACGGCTAAGCCGGCATTCCCGCATAAAGCATGTGCATGTGTGCACATCCACTGGTGTTTTAAACATCAAAGTCAGCAGCCCCCTCTACCTGCCCCAAACCCTGACCAGGTTCAGCTCTAAAGGTGAAACGCTGGAGAGCGCTGGCAATGTTGGCACAAAGAGGGGCCAGCGCTGGGCTCTCTGCCGTAGAAAGGAAGGGAGGGAGGGAAGAGCTGTTTGCCTGGCACCCGCTCATGCCTTGGTCCTGGCTGCTCACCGGGGGAAGCCAAGAAGCACCCATATAGTGGTGAGTAGCTCCTGTGTCTAAGAGGAAAGCTCCAAACCAAGTGGACGTTATTTTATCAGTTTGATAAATCTAACAGCAGTGCCCTCTCCGTCTTTCTTGCTTTTTTTTTCCCGAACACTGAAACATGAGTGATTCCATTACAGAAATAGAACTTAGATAAGATTTTTTTTTAAGTTAAGCTGCCTTTAAAGATTTTCTTTTTCTTTTTAATCTGAGATCAAAGTGTAATTTATGCTGTTGTCTAGAAAACAACAAGGAGACACGGTGTAACAGGACAATGAACTCTATTTGTATTAATGTACTTTCTTGATATTTTCACTGTCATTCTAGTGATAGTTTCACTTTAACTGGCATTTTTTAAATTTCCTTCTTTTGTTTTGTGTATTTACTAGAAGATCAATATTTTTATTGCAATAGTAAAAAGAAACTCTTCTGATTTTAAGTGGGGAGCATGAAATTTCAATGGGCACTTCTGCCATACTCGTTTCTTACAGCTCGTTTTTTGTTTCTCTGAAGTGATTGTAGTGCTCCCCACCGAGTTACTTTTTCTTTCAATTCAAAAAGCAGACAACGTGACGACTCTGTTACTTTATTTTCCTGACAGAACATGTCACTGTGACAAAACTTTGTGTCAGGAGGAGCTGGTTGGCGTGGTGCTTCATGCAATTCAAAGGGCACGTGCAGAATTTTTTGCGCAAATACAGCATGGGCCTGGGTGGAAGTGATGGTGAGGGCTGTCAGGCATTTTTTTCCTGGTTCTTTTAAGGGAAGGAGTCCTTTAAAGAAGGAGTCCTCCAAATTAGTCTAAACGTGTACGGGAGGGTGCATATAGATTTCCTAGTTAATGCATCCTGGAAGATAAACAAAAGCAAAATGCTTGTCATTTGGTACTAATGTGGTGGAATAGCGTGGCAGCAGGATCCCTGTTTTTCACTCAGCCTCTCGTAAAGATTCGACTTCACTTCAGCTGTAAAAATGTGCAAATTACATTACTGCTACATGACTGGCTTTTGTAATTACATTAAGCGATTGAGATAAATCCCAGTGCTGGGTTCCCAACAGAATGCTTGCAGCTGTGTGATTCTCGCATCTGATCCTAGGGTTTGTTGTACCCAGCAATGCTTTTTTTCCCCCTTCCCCCGCCTCTTTTTCCTTTACGGGGGTCTGTTTGGTTAGGAGGTCATGTTGGGCACGAGAGGGAAGCCCGGAGCGGGGCCGGCTCCGCGGCTGCACCACCCAGCGCTGCCCGCGTGTTGTGGCCGGGGCAGCCGGGCGGCCGCTTCCCGAGGGCGGCAGGTGCAGCTTTGTCCATGGGACATTTGTGAGCTTCCCAGGGACAGCGACCGCGCCGGCAGCCGCTGCCTTTGCCCCCGGAGAGCAGCGGTGCCGCAGCCCTCGCAGGCAGGACCGTGGACTGCGCGGTTTTCCCCTGGCAAACGGAGATGAGGGGTCGGCGAAGAGCCCCCGCGCCCCGAATTGCTGTGTGGACCTGCTGATTTCGTTCATCTGTGTGGCCATAGAATGGGAAGGAAGATGATCTGCACTCAAATTCAGTAGTCAAATTTATTGTGGGGAAGGTCAAGTAGAGAAATGAGATTTTTTTTTTCTATAAGCTCTGTTGTCTTGATTTTGTTGATAGGTTAAGCTTAGAAACTTGATTCCTAGCTTAGTGAGTGCAACTGGTGTAAAACTAAGATTTAAATAAAATAATTTACAAGTGAACTTTATTAATTTGTGTGCCACAACAAAACATATGAGTAGTTTTCCAATTTGCATTTGGCCATGAATATTAGTGCTTGACAAAGGATTCATACTGAAAAAATATCATAAAAAATTTAAAAATTCTTTTATGATTGGCTTTCACAACATTTAATTTGAAGCTGGGAGTTATATGAGTCCGTTGTATCTACCTGTAGTTAAAAATATAGTTGTGGAGCACGTATATTGGTTATCCAAATAGGAGATACGTTTCAGCAAAAAGACATTTCTCTTGTCAGCCATGAATTTTCTGTCCCGTGCACTTACTTGGCAAGGCTACTGTTAATTATTACATGTTGCAAAGAAATGAAAACTACACGAGTGGATTTTTTTTCCTTTTCTTCAAATTTTGAGCTTTCCATCTGCACAGTCTTCCCTTTGCTCTCTACACACTAATTTACTTGTGAGGAGCAGCACAGGTCCTTTGAACGTGGATGATGAAATCTCGTGACTGGATACCTTGTTCTTCCGTGGTGGATGGACATGAGTTTTAGTTTATAGCATTCAGATGGGACTACAGAAATAAAGCTGTACTTTGTAGTCTTATATTTGGTAGGACTGTAACACTGCAGGAGAAACCGGTCTTAAAATAACGTATAAAATAACCATAAAGCTGATTAAAAACTAGTGACCATTTAAAAAGTGAACAGTGCTATTTTTTGAAGGGTTTCTAAGGGTTAGGTTTGCATTATTGCACAACGTTGAAAAAACTTATCTTTTTAAATAAAAAAAGGAGTGCTAGACAATTTAGTAGCCTATTTCATGATAGAGAATGATGAGAACTTGGCAAGAGAAAGGCCGTCTATTAACCTTGCTTTTACTGTGAAGACCTTTGCCTGAAGTACCAGAGCTGCATTCACTACAAAAGGCTTGACCTTGGAACAGAAGTGCGTATCCCAGCACCCTCCTTTCTAATAATAATAATAACGATAATAAAGTATTGAAAAGACAAGCAAAAAATGCTTGCTCCCCCAGGTAAAAGAAAAATTAAATGTCATTTATCGTTTTGCTTGCACACCAGCTGCACCCCGGGTCCGTTTCAGCTCCAGCGGGAGAGGTTTAGAAGTCCGTGTGCACTGCGAATATTTGAATCACTGTCAAGGTCGATTGATACAGAATCTGTGGCACGTTTTCTGGGCATCTTATACAGGAGGACATGCCAGTGCTGTGATCTTTCTTTCTTTTAATCCCTAGATTTGTTCTAGTTGCTAAGCTGCGTAGCTCTCGATAGTGCCGTGGTGCTTAGAGGTCTGAGCGAGGAGCGCGTCAGGCCGGTGCTGTGCAGGAGCGGGACCGAGGGCGGCCTCCCGCCGAGCTCGCCAGGGAGGACAGACGCTGAGCACTAGTAGGTGGCGACACAGGTGGCTGTGGTGGCCTTCGCAGCCAAGAGTGGTAGCTCTCCAACAGGCTCCAGCTGCCCCTGCCCTTCCTGGACATGTGCTGGGAAGGGCCATTTCCCCAGGATGGGGAGGGAAGCGGGGTGGCAGGAAGGCCTCCCCCGTGCAAGGCTGGGTGTGAGCAGGGGAGGTTGTTTGGAAGGCAGAGCAGGGGCACGAGATGGTCAAATGGTCCAAGTTCATTGTCTGTCCCTGCCCAGGTTGGGACGGGACGTCGGGCTGCGTGAGTCTGATGCTCACAGTGCCTGGGAAGAGCAGAGGACTGGGGGAAATCACGGCAAGTGTCTGAGGGATGGGATAGCGAGCTATGGGCAGGAGTCATTGAGTCATCGAAAATAGAATCCTTGAGGTTGGAAGGGACCTTTAGGGATCATCTAGTCCAACCTCTGTGCATGGAGGGAGCTTATTCAACATGAATAAGTTGAACAGCACAGTTGTCATTACTTACGTGTTTTTTGCCTCCCTTTCCTGTGTTAATATCAACAAGAGTTCCTATTTAATAGCTAGTGTCCCCAGGCTGCCTTTTTCCACCCTTTCTTTTCTTGGAGTGCTGTCTGGCCAGGAGTGGTTAGGCCCAGTAAATAAAGCCATTTAGATAAGAACCCTTTTGTCTTCATCTGTCGTGTAACTATACTGGCCTAAAAGTCACTTTTCTAAAAACACTCCTTTAAAAATGTCACAGAATTACAAGATTTAGCTGGGAAGACTGTATGAAACAGTTCAGGGAAAATTCACTTTAAAAAATTACATATTACTCTCTGATTAAAACGGGCTCGTAACCTTGGGTTGTCTTGCTGGAAGCCCCTGCAGCCACAATCTGTGGAGGTATTAGCTGCCACAGTCATTACCAGCATCTTCTATTAAGACTGACCAACTCTTCACATGTCAACTAAACACATCCAGCTTTAGGCCTGTCTGTCATTTATTGCTGACTGGGGACTTTCCAGAGTTAAATTAAGAACTGCTGTTCATCCTATGGCTGTGGGTATGTCCTTGAAATTCTGTGCATGGAAAAAGATGGATACCAGATAGTGCTTGTGATGGCAGAGCAACGTTTTTCTAGCATTTTTTTTTCACAGACAGAAAAACAAAGCAAACCCAAACAAACGAACAAAAAACTTAGTACCATGTCCAGGAAATGGATTTGTAAACTTTCTTGAAAGACAAGAAGCAGTAATTATAATGTTGATGAATAAAAGAAGGTTCCTGGATGTCAGCAGCCAGCTCGTTATTCTGCTGGTACTTGTCCTTGTCTCTATCCATCTCACCCTGCTCCGTGCAATCCCAGATCCGCCTGTCATCTCGTGCGTTTTGCGGCGACGTATTCACAGAGCTCCTGCCACAAAGCTGGATGCTTTTACTTTGTTTTCCCCGCCGCCTAAATGATTTCTGTGTAAGGTTCAGCAAGCGGGAGCTGGCTACTTGTGTGAAGCTGCCATTTAGCCATGACGTGAGAGGCTTTTAGCGCGTCTGCCCTGCAGACACGGTCGGCTGCGGCCGCGCTCTCCATATTTGGTGGCTGTGCAAGGAGAGCCAGGTGGTGCTGCAAAGCACAGCACAGTGAAGCGTGGACAGATCTAGGTTTGACATTTGTCATCCCGCACTGCTGAAGGGAAGAGAAAAATCTGCTTTTCCATATGCTTATGCTTTAATTTTTGCCTGCAGTTTTGTCCAGATGGCCCTTGTGAACATTGTTTACTTTAAGATGCTGTCCCAGATGTTTTGGAATGCCGATGGATAAATGCAACAACTGTGGTATACTAATACACAAATTATTTACACAATTTTGGCTTTTTATTTTTTTATTATTTTAACCATCTCTTCTCCCCGCACTTCTGTGTATGGCACACCTCTCAGAGCCAAGAAGACTCCAGTAATTTCACTGACTTTCTGAGCCTGAGCAGCGCCTTCAAGCTGCAGATATTGGCAGCACCTTCTCGTGCCGATGCCTGTCGGGGGCTCCGGGCGGAGCAGCAGGACACCCCGAGCCCCAAGATGGGAGCCTCTTTGGGGGGCAGCGGTGCCCACGCCGTTGGTCATCTGCCGGCTCCAAAAACCCTTGGTGGGCTCTTGCAGAGGGGATTTGGTCTCCTGCTTTGTCCTTTTGCTGCCTTCCACACCAGTGGAACCGGGGATATTTTAAAGCTCTGCAAGCAGTTTTACTGAGAATGCTTTAAGGTGCTTTTGGCCAGCAAAGCAGCTCTGTCTGCATTTTGCCAGACTCAGAAAAACAAAAAAGGGGAAAAAGAAAATTCCTCAACTGGTATAGGGTGCAGACAAACTGCATCAGAGATGCGATGGATATTTTTAATGGGTGATTTTTATTTGATTACATTATTTTCCTTTTGTAAGCAAGAAAGTGCCTAGCAGTGTACATAAAAGAACCTTTTGGCATGAGCATTTCATTAACGTAAATAGGTCTGTTAGTTATTTCTCAGGAGCACTTTAATGAGACTTCACTGTGAAACTCATTAGAACAAATACATGAATTCATATGTCAAGACATAGATTGCAGCATCACAGTTCTTGGCATCTATTAAGTCCATAACTCGTTTACATTGATGTGCATTGTTAATCAATATTTAAGACACTGCAGATGTCAGTAATGTTCATATTTAGTCCTGCAACCATGACAGTATGAAAGTTGCTAGTAGAATTTCAGGCTAAATATTGTTATCTCAAGTCTTCCCATTACCTCTAGGCTACAAGTTAATGACTGTCTAACTTTGCTGTCTCTCATCTATTTAAATAATAAGGCAAATGGGAAAATGCACCGATGCTGTACTGGTAGCATATTTCATGGCAGTTTTATGAAATTTTTGAGTTTAGATTTTTTTTTGCTTTTAGAAACCAAACAGCACTGTGCGTATTTGGGTTGTGTTAGCAGCTCCTCGGGCAGTGACAAAGGAAGGTTGGTGGGGGGGAAACAAACAACTCAGATTCTGCTGCTGAGTGAGTTGCACAAGCCAATGTGAGCCGAGTACAGAAACTGGTAAATAACTTCGGTATTCAGGTGGTGACTTCTGGCTACCTGTTTTTCAATGCACCAAGAAGCAGAGTGAGAGCTCCTGTGTGGTGTTTCTGCATTGTATAGCGAGCATACATCTAAAGCAGCTCTTGTTCATAAACTAATAAAGCCTGTTTTTATTTATTTGTCATTGTTAATAACTGGGATAGCTTATTTGTTGTGGACTGTTGGCTATATGTTGGCTGGAGACTTTTTCCAGGGGTTTAGCTGTTGACATTTCTCATCTTTTATAAAGACTGGAAAGAGCAAGTAGCATCAGGGTGTCTTGCAGTATATGCTAGAAGGTAACCCTGATGTACTTAAGGATGGAATCATTTAGACTGCAAAGTTATATTGTAATGCTAATTGATAGTTTAATTACAGGTTCATCAAAAATTATCCGACTCCGTGAAGAAAATACCGAAACAAGTGAAATACTGAGAGGAAAAGGGCCTGGCAACGGTGCATCAGTTCCAATTAAAGGAATAAATAATTTAGGAAATACGTGCTTCTTTAATGCTGTCATGCAGGTAAGATAGAAAGATACGATATATACAGCTTTCTCTTGATAGATTTCAGATATACTTAATCTGTTTAAAATGGGGAGTCCATAAAAGGCTGTCAATCTTCGTGCTACTTTCTGAAGGCCTTTTTCAAATCCTGTTCACTCCCTCCCTTCTAAGCAGTATTTTCTGGTATAACAAAAAAGAATTCCCAGATCAGTAACATTTGACAAATGAAAATGTCAAGTGTGTTATACATGCTGTGTGCGGGGGGGTTGTATTCCAGCACATGGTGTTATTTGTAGTTCCTCATTAGGCAGTCATGAGTAATACACTACATTTACCACACTGGTGGGTGTCAAAGTGGTACTTTATGCATAATTTAAATGTTCAAGCACCGATGTCTGCACAGTGAGTTGTGTTGGTTTAAGTCCTTACAATGGATGCAGATATAAAAGTACTTTTATTGATGTTGTTTTATTTTTTTTGCTTTCTGAACAGCATGAGCTATCCTGATAAGCTTTTATTGACGTTGAGGATATAACTAATCCAGGATACTGAACCCAGAAACAACCCAGTGGAAATGGGTTTTAGATTGGGATTTCCTATTGCTTCTTAGTTGAGCGGAGACCTCTGTGTGTCTGCAGGCAGAAATGAGAAAATGACATAAAGCTACTACAAACATGTAGAATGTTTGTAGAATAGAGTACTAGAATACTCTGTGTATATGGTGGAGACAACTGCAAAATTCGTCCGAAAAGCAGTAAACTTTAAGGAGTAAATTTGCTGCACATTGTCTGTCCATATATTCAGGAGAGACCTAAGTGATTTGCTAAGTGATTTGTAATTGAAGCTTACCAAAAAAAGAAAAAGAAAAAGAAAAAGAAAAAGAAAAAGAAAAAGAAAAAGAAAAAGAAAAAGAAAAAGAAAAAGAAAAAGAAAAAGAAAAAGAAAAANAAAAAGAAAAAGAAAAAGAAAAAGAAAAAGAAAAAGAAAAAGAAAAAGAAAAAGAAAAAGAAAAAGAAAAAGAAAAAGAAAAAGAAAAAGAAAAAAAAAGAGGTACATTGAGTTGGTTCTCATAAATTCAGTTGTGTAATGCTTATCTGTGTTCCAGTCTATGTGTGCTTCTTCCTGGGGCACGGAGGGAGACTTCAGAGTTTAAAAGGAACAAATGCTTTCTCATAGGTGATTTCCTCACATATAGAAGGAAAAAACCCTCTTAAAATTAATGAGTGCTATTGTTTAACAGAAATAACAATGTAGTTACTGAGAACTTTGGGGAATTGTAGAAACAGAAACAGTTATAGTTTGGGAAACATCCTGAGATCTCCTGTGTGGGAGAGACCGGTGTTTTCTGGTGATCTGATTTAAACCTCAGTGCTATATTTATTGAATCTGTTACCTATTTCCAATGCTAGAGTTTATAACTGAAGAAAACAGTATCATTGAAAGATCAGTATTGTTTGTTTATCTTTTCCTTCAAGAACTTGGCACAGACTCACATACTAAATGAACTGATGTATGAGATGAAGGAGAAGGGAACAAAGCTGAAAATCTGTCATACTTCAGACTCCCAACTGGTAAGTATGCAGTGAGAAATACAAATTCAGGGAATGTGGGAGGAAGCTGGAGCATTTCTTTGGAAGACTTGCTCCTACTCTCTGTTTTCTGTTTGACTTCAATTTTTTTTTTAATCCAGCTTGATATCTATGAACGCTTGATATCTATTTACAATACTATTTGTTCAGCCTTGAAGAAGTAGCAGTTGCCTTTGAAATTCCGTGATATCAAAGTAGGAAATGTCACTTGACCTTAAGAGTGGCTGACTTGTATTTATTTCCCATGTTTTTTCTTTAATGGGCATAGATGATACAGAAAATAGTATATTCAGCTGTATAAAGTGTTCATGAAATACTTTATTCCAGGCTGTCTCAGATTGCCTTCTTACCTTCTTTGGAAAGATTTGTAAAATATATTACCAGTTTCCTAGCCAGACAGTTAAATGTAGAGAAGCAAAATTCCACTGAGGACCAAATTTCTGTCTTCAGTTCATTGCAGGCATGTGGGAAAGGGGGACTGTGATTATAATCAAAAGAATATGCTACTGTTCCCAGTAATTTATTAGACTTAGGTTTTTATAATATCTTTATAAATTTTCCAATAATGTAATACCCTTTTCCATCTGCCAGCTAAGGCAAGCAGAGTACAGAGGTTTTCTTACTCCCTTTTCTTAATTTCCTTTCTGTTTTTCCGCTGTGTGCCGGGAGCTTTCTGGTGGCGCTGAGGGTTGGTGGGCTGGGAGCTGCTCCGGATCCCTCCACGATTGCAGAGTCCTGCTGGCTGCCCCTGGTGATGTGCGTAGCCCCCCCGGGCCAGAGCAGTGTGGAATTCACTGCGCTCTTACCCCCGTTGCCTCTAATAGCAGCTCTGAGCAGCAGCGTTTCAGTAGGTTATTGCTGAGCCACAACCGAGATCTGCAGCCTGTGCCCGGAGGCTTGCAGGGACAGTGCTGTGTTGGTTCATGCTTGATGGGAACCTTGCACAGCCATAAGGGTGAAAGATATTTTTTTTCTTATTTTTTTTTAATTTAATGTGAGTGCTTACAGTGTAAATAAAATCCCTGGAGAAAGACTGTATTTTCTGATTCCTGTGTGTTCGTGCAGTGGGACCTCAGTGGGTCTAACCAGCGGTAACGTAGGAGAGCGTAGCCTCCTGCTTGGTACAGGGCATTTTTGAGTTTTAGCAGTGCAATATCTGTGGGGATCCGCAGTGCTTACCTTATTTTGGAGGGGGAGGTGTGTGTTGTAAAGGGGCATCTTCTCTAATATCCCTGGGGAAGCTGCAGTCTGCTCTGATGAGAATCAGACCGGCTGGTAGCAGCGAGGAGCACCGCGGCCGCGCCGGGCCCCGCGCCGGCCCCTCACAGCGCGGAGGCTGCCGTGTTTGTGTGGGGACAGAGCGGGTTGAGAGGGGTCCCGGCCCTGGCACTGCCCCAAATGACCCCCGGCCGGGTCCTGCCGGTGTTGGGACGTGCTGGAGCTGCCAGAGGTGGCTGGAGAAGCGGCCCAGGCCGGAGCCGCCACCTCCATGGCACTGCGGGGACCCTCCTGGACTGCCCTCCCTGGTGCTTTTTAGAGAAGATTTTGTGATAAATTACCCTGCTACCAGGTGACCTTATATCTGTGCTCCACTGTGTTTACGTGGCAGTGACATAATTTTAAGCTTCTCCCAAAATCTTAATTGCTTGGCCCTTATAGTTTTATAGAGCACACAGAGGTGAGGCAGACTTAAAAACTAGAAAACTCAAGTATAGCCAAGCAATGTGAATATTATGCGCAAAAACAGACCAAGAGCTGTGCTTTTTCAATTATTCTTATTACTGTTTTATTTATTTTTACTTGCTCTTTTGGCATGGCTTCCAGCCTGAGCTTTGAACCTGGCAAGCTCAGTCTCTTGATGCACAGAGTGAGCAGTTTGTTTGGCTGCTGGGCAGGCGGCACCTCATGTTCTGGAGTCCCCAGCAGCACCATGTCAGCACTGTAAATCCAGCTTGTAAATACGGTTTACGTAGCAAGAAAGAATATTCGAGCCTTCTGAATGTTAGCCAGGAATATGCTGAGAACTGTGTTGAAGAACTCATCCCTGTTTGTTACCCAAAGTTTTACTGTATTTTACTTTTTTCATTAATTATTGACATTCCTGTTTCCAAAATTTCTTGGCTACCAACCTATTTGCTCATCAAGAATTGGTTAATTTTGTAGCTATTATTTTTTAAATAAGCTTTTTCCTTGACTCTTTCAATCATATAGGTGACAACAAGATTTAAAAAAAAATAAGAGTAAGGCTGGTAAGGCTGAAAGCTGTATTGTTCTTAAGTATAAATGTACTAACCTGAAACAAGTCCTACATGTTACTCATTATGGAATCTGATGTTCCGTTTACTTTTCCTTTGAAGGACCCTTTGATGGTGAACCTCTCCAGCCCAGGACCCTTGACTTCAGCCATGTTCTTGTTCCTTCACAGCATGAAGGAGGCAGGAAAAGGTCCTCTTTCTCCCAAAGTGCTGTTCAGCCAGCTTTGTCAAAAGTAAGTGTCGTTAGTATTTTATTTATTTATTCTTAAAATTTCCAATAGGATGTACCATAGAGAAACTGAAGGGAACAAAATCGCCACTCAGGTTTTGTTGGAAGTTGTGTTTTAGGACAAAGCTGTGCCAGTATTGCAAAATCTGTGTTTAGGAGAAAAAAAAAAAAAAGATAAGCTTTTAAATGTGAAACGTCTGCTGTCGTGTCTGTCCTTGGCATTAATCCAATATCAGAAAGGGTCTAACAAGTAAGGACTTGAAGCACTATTAAAATGGCATATAGCTCCAGATTGCAAATGCTCACAAGCCCTAAAGACACCCCTGTTTCTTGGAGTGGAAGATGTTTGGTATTTGTAGGTGTCCTAAATTAAGACACAAACCATCTTGCCTTTCAAAACCCCTGTAGAAGGCCTTTTTAAAAGTCGATAGAAATATTTAGATACAGACATTACAAGGAAAAGAAGCTGTAGAGGCAGAGTAACTGAAATATGATAGAGCTGAATCTTGCATTTGAAAGATTTGGAAGTTAATAATGCATGTTAATGTGTTTGTCACAATATTTTTATGGGATTTTAAGTGCTCTGCAGCAGGGGAGTTAAGAGGAAATTTACTACTGACCACTACCACAAGGCAACCTCACTGTGCAAGCACAGGATTAAAATATCCTATAAAGAAACAGAAGCTTTTAGACTAGAGCAGGGACAATTAAATTCAGGTACAGAAATCCATTGTTATTTTCTATTTGTCCTCAAAAATAATCCTCAGAACCTTATTGTCCTCATATGTGGATTCTCTGCTGTTTAGTAAAGTGGAAGGCTATTGTCTTTCCCTGTCCACGTGTTTAATAAATTTTAATGAAATATTTCTAATTTACATCAAATTTGTTTGAATCTGGCTAATAGGCTCAAAAGTTATGAGGATCAGATGAATATGCAGGTGAGTATTTTTGCTGTGTGGGCTGCATAGGTATTTATAGTGTGTGATAGTGTCTGTATTTTGAAGGGAAAGACCAGTAAGAAGGATGCAGTCCAGGTAGAAATTGCCGCATGAGGTTTAATCAGGAGTCCCTCTCACCCAGTGTTCTCTCCTAATTGCTTTTAAAAGGGAAGAGTAGAAATAAAACATGGCCTAGATTGATCTAGGAGATGTATCCCAAACTTTTTTGCTCTACAGTATATCAACATTACTTTAGTTTTAGACTAAGGTGACCTCAGAGTAACATTTTTTGAGTGCCTGTGACTTGAATTTTAAGAATGAACTGAATGTATATGTTTACACATCCACTGGCATTTGGGAGTGTTTTAACTATGGAGTTATTTTGTTGATTTTGTAAACATGTAAGCAGGTTTTCAAGGGAGCCAGGGAAGCTGCATTTGTGGAGGGGTTGCCTTTCCCATGGCTCCTTCATGCTCCTTCCAGCAGAAGTTCCTAGGCAGAGTCCTTGGAGCTTCTCAACAGAAATATAATCCTGGCTGTTATTTAAACAGCACTGTCTTGTACAACGAAGCTGAGGGAAAGGGGAATGTTGCCTTTTGGTCAAGGATTTGAGTTGGACTCTGCTTTTTCATCTCTTTCATTCTCTTTAGTTAAGATCTTGTGTGAAGAGCTGCCAAAGCGGGTATAAAGCAGAATCTGCCCATTTTGGAGCTGGGAATACTAATATATGACCTTACTAATGTATCTACTAATGTACCACTGTACTTGAGAGTTTATGAAATAGATTAAAGGCTGCGCTTAGCTGTGATATCAAGAACTGGACTCAGCGATGCAGGAATTGTGTTTCCAGGCCCATGTTCCCATTTACTCGAGCACTGTTTGGAGTAGCTTCTTGCAGCTTGCAGAGGAGGGCTCTGAACTCACACACGCCGAGCGCTAAGCTGTTGCACCCAATACTTTTTATAGTCAACTCCTGATGTAGATTTGACTAGTGGAAATGCCGAGGATGCCTGTGGGTGGTGGGATCTGCCTCTGCCTCGGGCTGGGCTGCCCCGTGCTGACCGGCCAAAGAGCAGCAGCAGGGCCAAAGAGCAGCTCCCTTCTCCTGCACGGCAGCAGGCTGATGGGGTGCTCTCCCCGGGCAGGGAAGTAGCTTGTGAATAGATTAATTTTGTTTGAGCTGGTGTTGATGGATTTGGGTCTTTTTGCTAATCTGCTAGCAGACTAGTGGCATATTTGGGTGCTGGAAGATGCAGTTGGGGTAGGTGTACGGCTTGGTGCCTGGCGCCGCTGCCTCCTTTGCTGAGCTCCAGTGCCTGGAGTTGTCCTTGCTGATGTCCTTGTGCCCTCAGGTGACCACCTGGAGCATCCCAATGTTTCTGCATGTCTCCAAAAGCCTGCGTTTGATCCGAGCATCCTTCCTCAGGAATGGTTTGAAGAGGGGTCAGTGCAGGAAATCCCAGGGAAGGGGGCAAGGAAGGTAGAGGAGAAAAAGGAACAGGGAAAAAGGGATTTGCCCGTAGGCAGAGAGCGGGTGAGGAACCCCAGGGGCAGGTGCTGCCCTTCCTCAGCTGGCAGCTCTGTAACGTGGAACCCCCGAAACGGGCACGTGAAGAGCTCCGGGGGTTGCCACGTGCTCCCTGCTCCAGGGATTTCGGAGAACCGGGACATGGTCCTTTGGGCTGCGAGCTGTGGCTTGAAGCACCCGCAGAGATCACGGCGCCACGTTCTGCGCCTTATGTATGGAAGGGTATTTGTGGAACATCTTTCAAAAAATAACAACAGGGGAAAAATGAAACCGAGTGTTGATTTTATCAAGTGGTGGGGTAGCCAGGTTGAAGAAAAGGGGAAGAAGAGAAGGAATGGATGAGTTTTTCTGCGGCAACTGTTTAGCGTCTGGTACTAATTCATCCACTGTTAATTTTGTTAGTGTTGCAGCTGTCAGATGTTTTGCTAGCACAGATTGCGAGCATAGCTACAGGGCCCTTCTGTTTGTTTTCCACTATTCTGAATATTAGGACTGCAGACTTCTGACTTATCTAGAGACTTAGCAACTAATGCAACATTTATATATTAGGAGGACATGATTTTTATTTCTTTTATTTGCAGTGACCGAGGGATTTTGTTGATGGAAAGAAGGATCGGTTTGTTTAGCAAGTAAATGTGGCAATATTACAATAATTAGATAGAAGCAGTTTGTACAAATTTTAGAAAAGCTGCTTCGAACTTTGATCAGAGAATAATTTATAGTGGAACTGGATTGCTACATTCGCATGCAGGAGATGATTTGTTGCTTAATAAAGATTTTACTGGTGGTTACCAAACACAGGCATTTTGGGTTATTTTCTTTGTTTTGTTTCCTAATGAGTAGCAGAAGTTTTCCCGTGTTTCCCGTGTTTTAGGGAGCAGTTAGCAACGCTGGATGGCTGGGGTTTGGGAATGCAAGGCAGATAAATGTATACGTAAGCAGCATGGACTGGGATTTAGGTTCGCTTTTCCCGCTGGGGTGGAGAATCCGTGTGTTGTTCTGAGCAACAAAGCTATGAGAAACGTTTGCATGTATAATAAAACAACAGAAAACAATTTCATTAGTTGGAATGCCACCCTGAATACAGCATTACAGAATAAAGCAATTTTGGAGCTTGAGAGAGCAATATCAAAAGTAGGAAGCTCTCATATGAAGAGGGGCGTAGGAATTTAGACAGGAGAGGAGAGGAAAAGGAGGCAGGACAATGAAAAAACACAATACATSATAGAAGGTTATGATACAAGGTTAATTAGTAGTGCTTATTTAACTGCCCCCATAAGAGTTCAAGGATCTGTCTGTGACACTGAAAGGCAACAGATTTAGAGTCGGGGGAAAAAAGTCCTTCTTTTAACAGTTGCTGCAGCTAACCTGTGGGTATTGATGTCCCCGGTGAAAATAGTAGCAGGACTTCAAGGAAGGAAGAAGCATTAGGTGTCCTCAGTTACACAGTGTGGAGGCTTTTGAAGTGACCTCGTGCATTAGAAGCCTGGCTTGACTACCAGCTGGTACTGAGGGGGAAAGCTCCAGGGCCAGGTAAGTCTGTTGCTGTCAGTAAAAAGGCTCGTGCCCCTGCCTGGCACTCAGGTGGGGAAGCAGACAGAATTCCTGCGAGCAGCTGGGCTGCTGCAGCCTTGCAAAGGTGCTTCTCACGAGTATGTCCCTGTGCCTTGTTCAAGCACCACCGTTATGGTGTGGGACAGGTCAGCCCTGATGCCTCGTTTCCTCCATGTGGGGAAGGCGAGGCAGAAATGCTCGGAAGCAGTCGGTCAGAAGCCAGTGGAAAGGAGAAGTAGGATCTGCCTCCCCTTGCCACTGAGGCGGGACAGGCTTATGTTCCAGTGTTCATTCTCGGCCCACATGCTGGCAAGCCCATCTTTCTCTTACTAATTTGTTTTTCCTCCTCAGTAGCTTGCAGTAGTAGAGTTGTTACGATTCTGAGACAGGCTTGAGAGTCAAATTTGCTTAAAAAAAAATGGAGCTGTAAAGTTTAAGGGCCCAAGGTTTGCTGTGTCTCTTTCAGTTTGTTAGTGTTTTCTTCCAGTAGCAAGTGTCTGCTGGGGCCGCTCTGTTGCCACACGCCCAAGTGCAGTACGAAGGGCAGCCTGTGCTTTCCGAAGCAGGGGGCCCAGGAGCTCGGCCCCACACTTGTGGGGCAGCTTTGCTGTTGGTCACGTGGAACCACGGCCTTGGGAGCCTCTGGTTTGTTTGTGTGCTGAGCCATGTGAGGACATGCGGGGCTTGCTGCAACACTGCTTTGAAAGCCTGAAAACGGCCAAGAAAACGTGTTTTGGGAATTGCACTAAGTTAGCAAAGAATAATTGGTCTTGAACTTGAAAGGAGTTTTCAGGAGGAGTTTGGGGTTTTGCGAATGGCAAACAACTGCAGCTTTGGGCCATTTTGTTCTGGCTGTTCTGTAATGACAGTGAGTAGGAGAGTGTCATTAAGGAAGGTGGGTCCTACAAACTGTGTTAGCTTTTATAAAATGGCCCTTCATGTGCTTTTTTATAACTCAGTAGTCTTTCAGGTGTTGGGGGGACT